TGCTTTTTCAGGGCTCAACAGAAGCACCAGGATCAGTGCCGAGCTCCAGTTGGAGCCTGGCACTGATTCTGGCGCTTCCACTGACAGCCCCGAAGAAGCGCCGATCAGCTGGAAAGCTGCACTGATCCTGGCGCTTCCGCTGAGCCCTGACAGCCCTGCAGCTCCAGCCATCTCTCGCTCAGCCTTGTGCGGTGCTGCCACCATTCAGCTCATTCCCCTTCCCTGTGACCGCTTTTCTAGGATGGTCGCGTACCACCTGCCAGGTGCCAATGTACCACAGGTGGTACCCGTACCACTGGTTGAAAAGCCCTGGTCTAGGTCACATACCACCTGCCAGGTGCCAAAGTACCACTAGTGGTACATGTACCACCGGTTGAAAAGCCATAGTGTAGAACATCCGCACAGGTGGATGTGTAGGAAAGCACATACAATACAGAACATCATAATTGGCACTTTTAAAAGGGACTGGGAAACTGACTGGGAGAATCAGAGTAAGTTTTATTGAAAAATTAGCCACCAGAAAGTTCTGAATTCAGGTGGTGTTTTCACAATTTGAACTGCGCTATAGTTGTGCCAGAATACATTTTGCTTGGTAGAATAAGAGATTGTTTCTGCATTGCCTGCATTCAGCAGAACTACTAAGTTTGGGCTGGAAAAAAATGCAGATAGATATGAGCAAATATCACTTTGCTACGATCTTGTGATTGTCTGGAGTTTTGCAACCCAGCTATGATTACTGTAGTATTCAGCATGTCAAAATATATTATTTTTTCATTCTCGCGTCTGCCAAGCAAATGACTCCAATACACTCTTGTAAAAAAGATTATAGCCTCACTACTTTAATATTTTAGTGCAATAATTGTGCAACTTGAGTTACAATGAAAGGAAATTGGTATGAACCAATGAAATTTCAAATTGTGCGACACATGTTCAAGATGAGTGTATCTTGAGCTACAGTGGAATTTCAATGAATATTGTCAACATATTAAAGGCTAATGATTCTGTAAAGCTTGCTGTGTTGTCCCAAATAACTGCATATTTGGGAAACTCAAAGTTCATATTTCTTTTCTAGGGACACAACATAGGCTGCAGTATGAAAACACTCCTCAAGGTTATAACAAATTAAACATGGTAAGCATATGTTGTCTTCTAAGTTATATATTACAACAGTAGCTCCAGAAGCATTTGGAGAATGTATGTATACCATTATGTAGTTAAGGTTTAGAAATAGAGCTTTGATAATGTTATAAATCAAACCTTTTCCAATCTGTGTGAGCTAAAAACTTTGTAATTATTTTAAGGACTTATTACAGTTAATATAATTCTTAAAGCCACCACATTTTTTTTCAGGCTTGTGCAGAAGTGTAAAAAAAGATGGACTGCTTTAATAGAAGTGAGATACTATGCTCATGAGGAGTCTGAAATACTTCAGAATTATTTTTGAAACCTGCACAATCATAATTAGACACAATATATAAAAAGCACTTTTTAAAAGGACTGTGGCAAAGTTCCTTGTGGTTAGAGAGCTGATTCATGAGTAGCAGGCAAACATTGGACTCCAAAGATCTATAAAACCTACTGCAGTTTATTCTTCCCATACCCTTAAGCATTCAGGGTCAGGAATTGAAAAACGAAACAGTGTCAGCAGTCTAAGCATGCAAAAGAAAATTTCTCAGACATAAAATATACAAATCAAGGGACACATCAAATGGGACAGGCAGCTATAGTTTTGAGGATTGATATTCTTCACGCCAGCAGACACAGAGGGTGCCCCAGCTACACAAACAGGCAATGATTTCTTGTGAAGGCTCTGGCTCTTAAATTTCTTTACATATAGAATTCCAATAGTGCCTGACAAATGATCTGGGTCCCAATCAGGCAGCATAGACAGATGGGAGAGTATGTTTGTAGAGGCCATGATAAGGGAATTTCCAGCACTTTCTCTGCAGTCTTTTCTTTCTTGTCGTGCTCTAGTATCTGTTGACTTCTCCACCTTTTTCTCCAATTACCCCGCACCCCCACCCCACGCACCAGCCCTGCCCTGCTCTTTTTGGCAAAACAGCCTTTAAACTAAGCCAGCCCTGAGTTTGCAGGCCATTACAGTCAGGAGTTATAGTTCGCTTACCAGGAAATTGGTGTTTTCCCTTCACCAGAGGGACTTTTGAAATTGGCTGATTTTGAAATAGTTTTCTTGGTCTATAGGATAGAATTGATAATAATAATAATAATAATAATAATAATAATAATAATAATAATAATAATAATAATAATAATAATAATAATAATAATAATAATAATAATAAAGTTGGAAGGGACCTTGGAGGTCATCGAGTCCAACCCCCTGCCCAGGCAGGAACCCTACACCATTTCAGACAAACGGCTGTCCAGTCTCTTCTTAAAAACTTCCATTTGGACAGTTCTTGAGGATTACTACAATAGAAATATCACCGTATGGTATAAGTTCTTCGGGCCTTCTCTGCTGCTTGTAATAATCATTGCTTAAGCAACATTCTTGTTGAGCATTTAAATCTAATTTGTTGTATGGAAATGCACTTGTTCAAAACAAGTTTCTGTATTGTAGGCTTCCCATTTAATTGTAACAATCCTTTCAATATAGGTGTAGTTGTTGTTCACTCACTTCCAACTTTATCATTATTATTATTATTATTATTATTATTATTATTATTATTATTATTATTATTATTATTATTATTATTATTATTATTATTATTATTATTATTATTATTATTAGCAGACAATAGAAACTGTCTCCAATGGCTGGTCAGTAATTGCTTCCTTGACTTTTTTGTAAGCTTATGCTGCTGTTATCAGTATTGATACATTGAGACACTAGTTCCGGCTGGTATATTAACCTGCTAGCATTGAAGAAGAGCATCTGATTTAAATAGCCACAGGCAATTGGGGCCACGGTGGCCAAGGGAATAAAATAAAGCTAGTGTTCAACTTATGACCATTTGTTACTGACTATTTGAAGTTCCAACAGACCCCTCGCCCTCAAAGGTATTTATAACCCGGTTCTGAAGTTCTGATGGTTTTCCGCCCTCCACAATTATGTGACTACATGTTGGACACTAAGCAGTGTCCTGAATTTATGGCTATTTGCAGTGTCCCATCGTCACGTGACTAGCATTTACTTCTGTTTTTCAAAAACATCCCATAGAAAACACTTTATGACTGTGGTATCTGTTTAAGGACCGCCGCAAAAACGGTAGTAAAAACGTTTCTGGTCACATGGTGATCTGCTTTATGACTGCCATGACTTGCTGCATCCATAACGGGCAGGTTTCATTATAGTTGTAGATCGAGGACTATCTATATACATTCACTAGTAGCCATAGGTTAGAGCCACCTCAAGTTTGTTTTCTAAGAATGCCAGCGTAGAAAATACAGCTCTGCTTTATAGCATGTTATCTTCCCTTCAAATCTTTTAATTAAAATAATCTTTTAAAAGTACCCATCCTCATCATGGTTCCTCTCTATTGTATGGTTTTGTGTTCCATAACTATTGTATGTAAGAAAAATGGAGATCATGACTATGACTCTCTTTCTACAATATGCTAACCTATGTTTAATCGAATCTTAGTTTACTAAATTAACAGTTGCACAACACAATAAATCATGGACTACTCAATCACAATTTGTCTAGTACTTATAAGCAATGATTATATTAGCTTTGCTTGTACACATTTTTCTAAGTTATGATTGTTTGGTTTTGCCCATTAAAATTGCAAACAAAATTAACTTTTTGTGTTAAATGATTCATGTGCAATGGTTGTCTAACTTTCAGTTTCATGAACATGCATGGTAAGTTACATGTGTGTATATAGCAATTATGTTCCATTCTATAGCCTTTTGTTTGAAGTTGTTTTATAGAAATACAGTGATAATTTAGTTTAAGCATTCAAATTTTTTGAGGCATTCAGCCTGTTAAAAGAAAAAAATAGTTACAGGTATCTTTCAGATGAGAGCGAAGTACACAAATACAATTTGTGAACTGAATCATAAGCTTGATCTGCTACTGCCTTGATCACATCTGTCTCATTCATTCAGTATTGGGTTGACTTGCATGCTTGTTACTGTTGTTGTTTTGGGATTCAAATGCTTTCTTGTTTTGTTTTGTTTTAGAAAAGTGACTGCAGTCTCACACCATGGCTGCTGCTTCCTGATGAATTGTGGCTTTGTATCTTTTCCCTGCTGACTCATAAAGATATTTCTCGGATTTCCCAGGTCTGTCATCACTTTTATCAACTAGCTGGAGATAAGTCCTTTTGTAAGTACATTAAAATGAATAAACATTAAAAGGTTGGAGTAATATAAAAGTCCTGTATGGTCATTTTAAAATCTCATAGGTTTAAACATGTATATTTATATCTAGCTGGGACAACAAGAGCAAAGCTTTCATGCCCTGACATCAAATTAAAATAACTTACATATATGTTTGTTTGCATATTTATGCCGTTATTGGAAATCTTTTACATTGTAGTTCTGTTTTTGTATTTCTTGTTTACATTACATGTGCATGCTGTAAACATACTTTGCTTCCCTTTTGTCTGGTTATTATCTAGTAAAAGCATGCTTGTAATTTTTAAAGATTGTAGTACTGAATTACACCAAAAGGTTTTTGCATATTTTTAAAGGCAGAATGTTTTTCCTCAGTGCAAAATAGTAAATTTCAAGGAAATGCCTCAGTCAGGATTAACAGGAGGACAGTTAATCCTGTGTATAAAGTTGTGTGGTTCACCCCTCTGGGCCACGACTTGTACAGATGAGTAACTGGGATGAGCCATGGAGACTTAATATCACAAATGTAATCATCAGGGTTTGAACTTGGCTTGAACATTATCTTTAGAATGCAGCAACAGACCATCATTTCACTATTCCTGGGTTGCACATCTGTACTGCAAAACAATCCTTTGGAAACAGGATGAGACTGATAGTAGCTGGGAGATTCATAATAAGCTATGCACCATTCCTCTCTATGTCATGGTAAGCAGATTTTAGGTATTAATTCTAATGGTAGAACTGCATGTATGGGGAAACATATTCAGGAAAAAAAATGATGAAAGTTAGCTGGTAGGAGTAAGGACTTAACTTCTCTCTTTTGTGCTGTCTCATGACATTTTGCTGCCTGAGGTAAAGAATGAAATGCCTTCTTTTTCTTTTTCCTAAAAGTTTGGCAGATGAATCTTATATAGATTCATATATATATACATACTGACGACTATAAGCAAAAGAGATTTCTGATCACCTATGCATGACCAATATTTACCTTAGCAGCATTTATGTGAGGAGCAATGTAGTAACAATAGTGACAGTAAATATAATTATGACTACCAAATTAGGCCTGCATTTCGGATAACCATTTGGCGGTAGCAAGCAGTCATACATTTCTGCACCTTTTTGTTGCCATTTAGTGGGTATCTGAATTTTGCAATCTATATACTGTATGGCAGCATTAATCATATCAATATCTGCCAAGCCTGGCATGAGCTGGTTCCTGTCAATCTATTTGTTAAACTAGGATGTTGTCAATAGACTTTCTCGTGATATGACTCATACATAGTTATATAATACAGCCAACCCAACCCTGCAAAAGGTAAATAGGGCTGATTCAGAGCATGGCTATGGTGTGTGTGTGTGTGTGTGTGTGTGAGAGAGAGAGAGAGAGAGAGAGAGAGAGAGAGAGGATTCAATTTTTAAAAATTGGTTAGGAATATACTGGATGACCTGACAAACTAGGTATTTCCCCCATTTTCCATTATGTTATAAATTTTAGTACATAAATTATGTTGTTTCCATACTTTAATGTTTGTATAATATGTTTAAAATTATTAACATTTTATTATTTAAATAGCTTACAATATTGAGAATAGAAAAGAGAAAGAAAATAAATAAATTCCATTTTATTTAATAGCAACATTGTACGCATAAACTTGTTTAGCTTTTTCGTCCAAAATTGAGCATAACATTGAAAAACATTACAACTCATATAAAAGTAATTGTTATATAGTAAGGTTTTAATCTTAATTAGATTACTTATTAAAGTCTCCTTTGTATTGTTGCTTAGTGTGTGCTTATGTATTACCTACTAATAAAAGGAAAAGAGAAAGCACATTTAATGAGAATTAATTACTAAACAAAAGGAAGAAAAAGGAACATACCGGTAATAAAAAGAACTGTTAGGGTCCCTCCTTTATAGACATCTGCTGATTCGCAATATTTGTAGATATTTAGGCCCCCTTAGAAGCCAGAATATAAGTGATTATATTTGCCATGCATTATATATATAGGAACAATTCTTGCTTACACTTAGTTAAACTTCTGTTGTGTACATATACTGCTAGTTTTGCCATCATTGTGTATTCTCCAAGTTTAAGTTCCTAGTCAGATGTAGTCAAAGTTGTGTCTTTCTTCCAATGTTGGAACAAAATTTCTTTTTGTTGCTGTAAGCTATATCTCATTAAATTACAATTGGTTTTTTCTCCTGAAATTATGCCTTGTAGGAAAAGTTGTGGTTCATTTCAGATTTAAATTGCAGAATTTTCTGCATTGTGCTATGTATCTTTCCAATATTTTGGGGTTTTTTTTAGAAAAAAAATGTTCACCCCGTGAGAAAACATTCCTGTTTCATGATATTTCCAAACATCTGTTGCTATATGGTTTATCTATCTTAGATATTATTAGAGAAAACTGAGGTGTGCAACACAGGATTTGGTGCTGCTGACGAACTTCTAAGAAATGGAAAATGTTTTGGATAGTTACTATAGAAGAAAACAAATTGAAGGTCATTTGCTTCGTGTCAGTAGCTCTAGGCTTGTGTTAGTTCCCACACTGAATTCCAAAGCAAACACTTGGCGCCTTGAGTAAAGAAAGGCAGCCAATTAGATGCAGCCAAGATCTGTCTTTCAATAATGTGTAAATGTTGCATAGGATGTGTATATATTTTAGGCTTGCTTTTGTAAGGTGCATGATCTTTGCATCATAACACTCCCCCTCCCATCTCTAAAAAAAGTGGCTGAAATACTTTGCTGAAAGACAATAATCAATAATATAATTGGCATAAGTAAAAAAAAAACTTGATATTTGCATAAGCAAACATTCTGTTTCCCAGAAGTGTAATAATAAATAGTAAAATATGTAGACTTCCAAAGCCGTCTGCAGATAACATCTGCCTCCAAGCATTTTTTTTTTAAAAGTTTATTTGTGTGTTGGGGAGTGGGGGGGGGAATGGGTTGAGTAGGCTTATTTGGAAAAAGTTAAAGATTAAGTTAGTAACAATTTTCTTGCATAGCATTATCAGGTGATTGTGCTCTACAAGAACATTTGAGCTTTCAGTACTTTATACCAAGCAAAACTCCACCACCATATCTAACATCTTATATGCAAAGAGATATCAAGTTATAATTTTAGCCATAAAAATAGCTCTGATTCTTAAGAATGTAATGTTACAGTATGAAAGCTTTATGTTTTGGAGATGGTTTTTCTTTAAAAATTATTAGCCATAATGGTGTTTTTACCTTAAGTGGGTATATTTATTGTTCACTGTAGAAAACAAATTCAGCTAGTTCTCTGTTATTTTGTTATTCATTCCCTTTGAGCCAAGCTAATTGTTCTCTTCTGTATTTAAATTAAGTAGTTTAGAGAAATATGAATACATACAAGGGAGGTTGATGTGAGAAATAGAGTAAGAAAAGAGTTACTGAGACTTCTAGAGTTTATAGTGAAGTTCCACCCAGCTCTAGAACAAGGATAAAATAAAGTTAAGCTCTAAAGACATTAGATTCGAGAGTAATTTGTTTAGATCAGGGGTAGTCAACCTTGGCTCTTTTATGACTCGTGGACTTCAACTCCCAGAATTCCTGAGCCAGCTAAGCTGGCTCAGGAATTCTGGGAATTGAAGTCCACGAGTCATAAAAGAGCCAAGGTTGACTACCCCTGGTTTAGATGATGATAAGTATTGCAGTTAGTCCCCATTGACAAATGACCATGGGATGCTATGACCACATAGAATTTTCTTAACAATGGCAATTGGAACTGCTGCAACTGCCATCGTAAGTCAGCATGGTCATGTAACAGTGTGCTTTACAACCACATTGACGGAGTTGTTGGTCCCATTACCATTGTTAAATGAGGATTACCTGAACTTCAGTTGTAAATAAAGTGTGGTAAGCTGGCCTGGCTGCATTGTGGATGCCTTTCTTGGGTTGGGCTCGAGAATTCTGTCCTAGCAAGAAAGAGCAAAGTTCAAGGCTCCTTTGGGACTTCTGACAATCAAATATATGAAATGAACCTCTTATTCTTTTTTTACTATGTCAAACTGGGGCAGTTGCAGCTTCCCAGATCATGGCAACCAGCCACAGAACTGCACGGTTTGGGGGCTGCTTGATGTTCCTCAAGGGAGGGTGCAGGGCAGCCCAAAAGGCTGAAAATGGGGGGAAGACAGATGGGTGGGTGTGGGGAGTCCTTTACCTTACTGATGCTCGGAGCTGGGAGGGACCAATAGCAGAATGGCTTGGTTTGGGTCCTTGGCTAACAATTGGTAACCTTCACTTAATGACAGCAATAGGGATTGCCAAGATTGTGATCACTAAGCGAATGTGATACATGACATCTCCTTTAAACTGCATTGCTTAGCAACAGAAATTCTAGTCCCAATTGGGGTTGTAAGTTGAGGACTATCCGTAGTGGATCCTCCGGGAAAACATTGCAAGACCAGTTCCTGTTCAGGTTTAGCCTTGTTTGAATAACAAGGCCCCTCTGAGGTTTATGGTTTTTCTCAAATCGTGGCCATTGCTGTGACTTACAGTTTCTTTCTCATTCCTGCTTTTTAGCTTCTAATTTCTGATTCTGATTTGTTCTTCAGTCTTGTACACTGCTTGTCCTAGACAGCTTGGTTATTATCTCACTTTAGATAACTGCCAATTTATAAATAGCAACTGCTGGCAAATTACAAATACATTGAGTTCTCAATTTGGACAAGTGGCACTTTTATTACTCTGGTCTATATTTCAAGATTATTACAATGTTTTTCAAAATAGTTTGCATGTGATAAATATTAGATCATTTACTTTATAGCTGTAATCCTTCATATAGTATTCTTAGAGTGGAATAAACTTCATTAATTGTCTAGAGTTTGCACCTGTGTAAACATGCATGAGACAGCACTATGAATTTGTGAGGCATAATGGAAAAATATAAGGTTGGATCTGAAGAATCATTAATGGAAGAAATCAGCCAGCTCTGCTATGCAAACACTTTTAAGAATCAGCACATATTCAAACAGTTGACATTGCCTCTGGAAGAAATTGCACACAGTTTTAATAAAAACAGTTATTTCTTTTTTTTCTCTCATTACTCTATAACGAAGAATTTAATCAAATTAGGATGAAAGGAGAGGTACTTTTCAGTTCTAGTTCATACCATTTAATTTGCTTGCTTTGAATATTGCCTAGTGTTTATTTGGTACATAAAGTTTGTGATCCAAAGAGCTACTTTAGAAGAGGCTAAGAGCTTATTCTGCCTCACTTATTGGGATTTTTAGTATTTATTCAGTAAATGAATAATTATCATTAGAGACTGCCTCAGCAGATGACTCTTAAAATGTGACTCCCATGACATTATGTAATGCCATTAGCACACCAAGATGGATTTGCTTTCTCCAGATGGCTGTACAATAGTCAGAATAATCTTCTATCTTCTATTCTATTATATAAATAAAAATGTAAATGTTCGTTTGTTCAAAATCTTAAATCTCCGAAAGTTCTTCACCGATTGCTTTGAAATTTTGACACAATGTTGCATTCGAATACGTGCATGTTTTTATATACCTATATTATATAGATGTCACACCTGTGACAGGTAAAAACATGCTTTTTTGAAAAACAGCGCCATCTGTTGGACGCTTTGAAATTGCCATTGAACATGCAATTCATTGAAACTCCCACGTGCAACATTTCCAAAGCATCCGGCATGAGAAAAGTATTGCAGAAATGCAGACTTATTGTTTGGGATGAATGCACAATGGCGCATTGAGACTGAGCCACAGCAACGTGTGGCCGGGTACAGCTAGTATACTAATAAGCCTTGACTAGCATGAAAACTTTGATTACAGTTACACAGGCATTTCCCTGTGTCAGCCAATTAACATTGCAGCTTTTCTTTCTTGCTATCCCGAATCTTCTTCCATGATATATCAGATATAGTGGTTGGAATATAAAATGGGGTTTGAGAAAATCTAACTTCAAATATTTGCCTGTCAGATGTAGTGGTTGATTGTGATGAGCAGTTGCCACAATATATCTCCAAGGAAAAGAAAATCACACATTTTGCCCTAAACCTTGCTGAGGAATATTAATAAATGGACATAAACTGTTTTAACTTCTCCCATCAATACGCCGCTATAGAGCATTCCATGTCAAAACAACTAAACACAAAGATAGTTTCTTCTCCCATGCCATCACTCTGCTAAACACTTTCTACAGCACTGTCTTCTGCCCCAAAATATTTACCCATGTAGTAGGCTGTATTGCTATTATCCTTATCATCTTCTCATCTTTCTCACTACTCATATTTCCTACTACCTTCTCCAAATGGCATATTATGATTTATCAATTGTTGTTGTATTTTATGATTTATGATTGTATCTTATGATTTATGATCTACGGTTCACCACTTGGTTGCTTGTACGTACACTGAGAGCTTATGCACTGGAGACAAATTCCTTGTGTGTCCAATCACACTTGGCCAATAAAGAATTCTATTCTATTAATAGTAATGTTTTATTTTAATTTTAAATGAAATATTGTAAAGAGTCTTTAGTTGATGAATAAACATCTACCTGCACCAAATAAACTAGGTTATTTTTCTCTAGGGAAGAAGATTCAGCTTAAAGATTGCCACTGCTTGAATGATGATTGGTTGATTAGTTTAGGAAAACACCACCCTGAATGTTTCACTCTTGATCATTGCCATGATAAAAATCAGAGAATTTCTGAGGTTGGGCTAAAACAATTCTTCCAGCACTGTGAAGGATATCTTAAGGTAATGTCCACTTTAAATATAAATGTTGGTTTTGTTTTTGTAATTATAGCAAGTTGGGAAATATTTATGATTTTTCATTATAATTTTATGTAGATTTAAATTATACTATTCTGGATGAACATAGTATAATATAAGGGAAATAAGAAATAAAGTTTCTATACACACTACTGAATTCTGATGCTCACAGTGGGCCATATTCTTTCTAATTTAATACAATATCAGTAATGTGATTTCACAAAATTAAAATATATATTCTATTGAAAACCAAGCTCTACTCACTTCAGTATGGTTTCCATATTTACATTAATAATAATAAACACGAATAAGAGTAGATTGGATATTTTTATCCAATTGGTTTCTCCTCTTATAGAATCTCTTGCATCCAAGAGCTGGGAGATCTTATTTAATTCTAAGTTCCCAAACAGGTACTACAGGGTACCTTAAGTAAACATTTTAAACCTCCAAGGACTGTAAGGAAGAGCGAAAAGTCCTGTAATATGCACAGAAGTTCACTCATACAAATTAGATTTGACCTAAATATAAAGTTGGCCATATAAAGCTTGTGTATAGCCTTGAATACCATCTTCTATGCTGAAACCTTGTGAATGGTCCTGATTCTTTGCACCTGCATTAATCTGGTCAACTAAAGTTCCACTCTAAATTGGCACCAGATAAGGGTCAATGGAATTCAAGAGGGGTTGGACTTAGAGTGCTTGTGGGAATGCAGTGACTCTGAGCTGATGATGTGCTTAACTCTGCCCCCAGCTCTGCCTGCTCTTCTCCTACAAGTTCCTTAGAATTATTATTCTCAGTTGTTTAAAATATTCAAGCAACAAGCAGAACTCTACTTTTTACAAATTTTCATACACATACTACCCATAGGAGATATGAAATGTATACCAGTGCATTGAATAAGCTGATAAATTACCAGCATTGTACAATATAAGTAATTTTTGTACAATATACAGTATAATTATCAATAAGACATAGTATGTCATCTGCATTAATAACAGCTTGCATTCAGTCCTCTTGTTCTTATACTGAACATGTCTGTCTAATAAGGCAAACCCGTGGTTCCAAAATCAAATTAAAATCAAAAAGGCATCTATGACAAGCTCATAAGACATGATAGATAAAAGGGTAATTCTATTTGTAATAACACTTCCATATTAAAGGCCATTTTCACAGTCAATAAGACCAGAACGGCTGATTTCAATTTTTCTGACTGTATATCCAGATCAATAATGAGTAATCTAATTGTAAAAATTATAATTCAGGATGTTGAGATAACAAACTGGCTGTCTACTGTAAGCAGTATAATTTTAGAATGTGGTATTAGAAATGAAAGCTGTTGATGCTGACCTAATTTTCTGTTGAGGTCATCCCAAGAGGACATGTATATGGAGTGAGGCTGTATGCTTTGTTCTTCCTCCATGCTTTCCTCTTGCAAAAAGAGTAAATTAATTTAAACATCTCCAGGAATGCCCTTATTTGATCCTCAGGTTGGAAATATGTTGGTCATTCTGTAGTTCTTCCAACATGCCCCATTGCCTGATTCAGAACTGGAACTATCTAGCACAGTGTTTCTCAACCTTGACAATTTTAAGGCATGTGGACTTCAACTCCCAGAATTCCACAGCCAGCAATGCTGGCTGTGGAGTTCTGGGAGTTGAAATCCACATGCCTTAAAATTGTCAAGGTTGAGAAACACTGAATTCTAGCAGGTAGTGTTACCATCCAAAAATAAAGTTTTTCTTTGAGATTGGAAAAAGAAATCCAATCAATCCAAGATGCCAAGCTAGGAGCCTCAGGATTGCAACTCAAATTAATTAATCCTGTTGTTACTTCAAGACATGTTTTCTTACGTGAGCCATTTGTCATTGCCCATCTAGTATCGGTATTCCAGTCAGATTTATTAATGTTCAGATGGCATTTTAAGATGAGAAAAGCCCTGGAGAGGCTTTTTTTTTAATTAAAAGATTATAACAGATGGTACATTTATCAAACTGCAAAATGGTAGCTTAGGAATTAATACCAGTATAAATACGAATTAAAAAGAAAAGCAAACTTTTGCAAGGCAGTGTCATTCTGTGTCATTCCACAAATTATATAACGTTAGTGCCTGAGATCAAGAGGTGCTTTTGTTTATCGCTGCAGTAGAAACTGGCTGAGAAATGGTGATGGAAGCTGACAGAAAAACTGGAAAGAACAAAAATATATTGAAAACTGCAGCTACAGTATCTCCCCCCCTTTTTTCCCTTTCTTTTATCTCTCATAAACCATGTAGAGTTAAAGAATTGCTTTGAGGCACTGAGTATGAAGTTGAAGCAATAGTAATGAAATCTGGACAATCTTTATGAATCTTCAATCCTTTGGTTTGATTGTTACAAAAACTTTGTCTAGAATTTGAAAGGAAGCTTATTGTAATAAACTCTTTGTTTTCTTCTAACTATCCTGTTATAAACATAAGCAGTAGGATTGGGTGATGTTTTAGATCCAAGGGATGATTTGGAGAAAACATACATTTGCATGAAGCTTCTATCAGCAATTTCTTAAACACATTTTTCCCAGGATCACATTACAGTTGTGAGTTTCCAGGAAAAGAAGCAGCTGCCTTAAGGAATTGCTGACCACTTCCAACTTCCAAACACCCTTTTTGCTTTACAACTGAAGTATGGCACTGCCCTAATAAACAATAAACATTTCTGATTGATGCATAAGAAATGCTAATAAAAATAATTGTTTCAGTCAGCTAATTGCAATTTCCTTTTTTCCTCTGTTTTGTGCTTAGGAACTGAATATAAAAAACTGCAGTGGTTCTGGATATAAAGGGGACAGCGTTCTACTTCACGCAAGCACCTTTTGCCATAACTTGGCAGTTGTAGATATAAGTTGGACAGGAGCTACTGATTTTGGACTCAATTCCCTGGTTAAAGGTTGTAGCAGGTATCTGAAAAAAAAAATCTTGAAAACCCCATTGCCACCAAATACTTTTACCACCATTTGTACAACCAGATGCAAAACAATGAGAAAGGCCAACTAGATTACATAGGGCAGTGGTGGCGAACCTATGGCACGGGTGCCAGAGGCGGCACTCGGAGCCTTCTCTGTGGCCACGCATGCCGTCGCCCCAGTCCTAGGCCTTCAGCTGGGTTTTATAAAACCTTTTCGCGTTAGGCCTCCGCCGCCGTGTAAAAAAAAAAAGGTTCAATCAATCAGTCAATTTCAACTTCTCACGGGAAAAAAAAGATCTTGCAAAGTTGGAATTGATTGATTGAACTTTTTAGTCCCACCCAGTCTGCTGTTATCACTGCAGCCATGCCCACCCAATGGGCCACACCCACCCGGCACCCGACAATGCATAAGTGGGTTTTGGGTTGAAGTTTGGGCACTCAGTCTCTAAAAGGTTCGCCATCACTGACATAGGGGTTTGTTGCAGTTTGGAATGCCCTGCTCTGCTTTTTACCAGAATTCTTCAGTTTCACTCATCATATTGTTCTGTTCTCTCCATAAGACATAATTTATAACAACTTATTGTTGATTTTGATTTTCCTCTGTTTTTCTCTTCCACCCTAGTATTTCTATTAATCGGGTTTTTTTCCCTGATGATTCCACTCACTCATGCCATGGTCACCTCATGGCTTGACTACTGCAACTCTCTCTTCATGAGGCCTTCCCTTAAAGACATCAGGAAGCTTAAGATGGTCTAGAATGCAGTAGGGCAGGCAGGGATGGGCATATCTTGATATGCCCATGTAACATCTCTGTTTTGTCAGCTGTACAAGCCAGTTTGTTTCAAGGTGCTGGTTATTACTTAAAAAAGCTGACATGGCATAGGTCCTGGTTACTTGAGGGGCCACATTATCTTGTCTCCCACATTATCTGCCTGGCCAATTCGATTTGACATAATTGGCACACTCCAGGATCCTTAAATTAAACCATGCTATGAATTGGAACCCTATAAGTGAGACTGCTCTGTAGCAGTCCCTCCCTGAGGTCACCCCTAAGTTCTGGATAGCCCCACCTAGCTGGTGTTTTGAAGGGGAATGGGACAACTTGCCACGGCCAACTCACCACAGCCAACTCATCACGGCCAACTCACCACAGCCAACTCATCACAGCCAACTCATCATGGCCAACTCATCACGGCCAACTCATCACGGCCAACTCATCACGGCCAACTCATCACGGCCAACTCACCATAGCTAACTCACCACGGCCAACTCATCACGGCCAACTCACCACAGCGAACTCTCACGGCCAACTCACCATAGCTAACTCACCATGGCCAACTCGCTGCGGTCAACTCGCCACAGTCAGCTTGCCATGGAACAACTCACTGCGGAACAATTTAACAATTCTATTTAATTATTTAAAATAAATTAAAAAATATTCTATTTTTTGTCAATCACATTTTATTCTGTCCTTCCTTTCGCATCCTTTCTTTAATGATTTTATTCCACCATTTTTTTGTTATTAGTATAACTTTTGTCCAGCAATGAGTTGTCCTATGGCGAGTTGGCTGTGGCGAGTTGTCCCGCATTGAGTTGGCCATAGTGAGTTGGCCACAGCGAATTGTCATAGACTCGTTTTGAAGGGCCTTAAAGACCTGGCTCTTTGCCCAGATCTTTTGCAAGAATGAATGAAGTCCCTTTTGGCAATTTATTTCTTCTTATTCCTGTCAGGGTTTATTTTTATTTTTTTTGTCATCCTTGCGATTTTTACTCTTCAAGTTGGTGTGACATTTTTAAATTGTTTTTAATGTGTTTAATTGTAACCACCCAGGTCATTGGCAGTTGGGTAGCATATGAATGCAACAAAATAAACAACAATAATAGTAATGTCTGATAAGGCAAGCTTCTTTTTTTTCTCCTTCGATATCCAATTTTGGACATCTTTCTATTGACATTCAGCATCTGAAGTGAGGGAAAGTTAGGATTAAAAATACAGTGTTAATAGGTTTGGCAGAAATTACAAGAATCCATACTGGTTTTGCTAAATGTAGTTAATCCAGTAAAAGATACCTGCTTATATTTCATTAAAGCACAATATCAAATTATGGATTTTAAGCTGTGTTGCTTTTAGTACCTACTTCAGAGGAAGCTTATTAAACAAGGTGGGATTGATTTTTAACTAAATATACCTGCTTGGTTAATTTTATAGAAACTAAACTTTGATTAAATTTGACTAAATTCATGTATTGGGCTCTAAGGCAAGATTTTTTTAAAAAAATCCTCTTTTTTGAAAAGTTTTTTGTTTGATTCACACATAGTATGAAATTGTAATGTATGATTCCCTAAATCTGCTGAGATGAAAACAAATCATATTATAATTCATCATATTTTTTTAACATAGCTGCAATATTTTAAGCTCAGTATTCATATTGTTTCATTTACTATAAAAAAATGAGATCAGTGCAGGTGCCTATATTTAAGACCACATCTTATGTTATAGATTCCTAATCAAAACATATTCATTGTAAGAAAATGTAATATTTTATATAAGAAAATACTTGTATAAAAGTAACTAAAGAGAGTTAAGAGGATTGACAGGAAAAGAATTCTTGTGTATAGATAGATGGGTGAAATTTGCTGCTCAGATTTTCCTGCACATGAAAAAGTCAATATCTGCGATACAAGAAACAGGCTCAAATCAACTAAATTGCATGTTACTGTATTATATGAAAAAATTAAAGTAATCACTACTGTTCCTTTAGTTTACAGTGTTTTTCTGCTAATGGATGCCAGATTACCAATGAGTCAGTAATGGCCTTGATTGGAAAACATGGAAAAAGGTAGGTGCATGCCAACTGAAATTGTGAATCAAAATTCAGTACAAGGTGGTACATCATGACTGCTTTAATTTAGAAGGATTCACAATGATTTCCCCCCTTAATTTCTATAAAATTGGACTTATTTTTTTTGCTGCCAAATCACAATAACTATAGAGACAACCTTTTCTAATGTGTGGCAATGGTTAGCTGTGCTTGGCAATTGTACTTTAGGACAAAGAAGTCAAATTCATGAATTTAAACCCAGGACACACAGGCCTTTCTAATTGAGTCCAGACCATTGCAGGATGCTAAAGGAATGCATCCTGGACAAATGACTTTAGTTTTTGCTTGAATACATGATCTAAGCAAAGAACAGGCCACTGCCTCACTGTGTAATTGGTTCACTTAACAAGCTTCTCTGATCATTAGAAAGGGATCTCCATCTCAATTCAGTGGAATTTACCATCCTTTATCTTAAATCCTGTCATGACTAGTATCAAGGATACCTGATACTGTGCTTTTGTGCTGTTTTCCAGCTTTTAATAATTAAATTGCCAACAAGGTAAGTTAGGAATTTTGTGGACCGTGTTTGATAAAATATATCCCCCAGCATAAGTAAGGGTAATTAAAAAAATCCCCCATCACAATTACTCTATGTATCTTTGAAAATTCTACAGTTTATTTTTATATAATTTACCACACATCTTTTCTTTGTGCTCATGTTGTGATAGTGGTCATCGGTATTACTTTTGTTCATTCCTCTACATACTTTAATCCAGATGTTAATTGTAGTATCACTAAATTCATCTCTTGGGTTTCTGAGGAGGTATGAATTTTTTTTAACCTTCAACTGTCTTTTAATATTTCTATTACTTCCTTTTGAATAAATTGTGTTCTTCGGTTCTACTTTAGTTGTAGAAATCATACGATCCAGGTTTCCACTATTCTTAATATGCTTTCTTTTACTATATTCATCTTATTTTATTTTCCATAATCTGAACATTAGTGTGTAGACTCAGGTGACAAATTTTATAAAATAATTCTCTGGTTGTTCTTTTATTAAGTAGTTTCAAAGGCCCTGCTATTGCGATAGAAAAAAAAATAGTTTACTATGCTTAAGCTACTTTTACTAATCTTTGTGGATTGCAGTGCATGGTGTTTCAATAGTCCATTATCTGGATAATTCAGACTGTGATCCTACAAACCTTTCTCTCTTGGACACCATCTCATTCACCTGTCTTTTTTGAAGTGTTTTCTGTGGATTCCTTTTGAATAAATGAGAATATAAATGAATAAATAAAAAGACTAGGTCAGTGATGGCGAACCTTTTAGAGACCGAGTGCCCAAACTGCAACTCAAAATCCACTTATTTATCGCCGGGTGCCAAGTGGATGTGGCTCACTGGGTGGGCGTGGTCACCTTGATGTTGCTCATGGGGAGGGACGCCTGTGGAGGCTGGGATGGGTTGGGGGAGATCCAGGGGGTCTCTGGCAGGTGGGGTGGTGGGCAGGAGGCTTGTCCTGCGGAGTAAGGCGAGGCAGGGCGGGGGTGCCATTGTCGCAGGGCAAGGCGAGGCAGGGGCTGGTGGCTGCTGCCTAACACTGTCGGCCCCCGCACACAGAGGCCAACGAGCTCATGGGGGCCAACTGTGTCCGTCAGCAGCCACAGCCTGCCAGCCCCTCGACTGGCACACTCTGGGGTTCCGCAGGCCACCACCATCAGTTCAGAGAAGCTGCCTCTGAGCTGGACGGCCAGCCGACAGCTGAGGAGGTGATGCAGAGGGTCATGCCCGGGAAAAGGAGAGCATGAGAGGGCAGGAGGGATAAGACGGGGGGGGGGGGAGGAAACCAGCTATGCTGGGATGCATCCGGCCATGTGGGACCTCGGCGAGTTAGTAGGCAGCTGGTTGAAGAGGGACGGTTGCCATCTCAGGCATGGCGCGCGTGCCCACAGAGAGGGCTCTGAGTGCCGCCTCTGGCACGCGTGCCATAGGTTCGCCACCACTGGACTAGGTTATTTAGTTCCCTTCCTTATCTATTAAATTATGATATGATTGTAGCTGTACATATGTTCCTATATGTATAGCTTGGGAGAAGCAATAATTGTTTGTGAACTTGCTAAGTCTTGGAAGTTCTTTCAGATTCCTGATTCTTACTCCTGGTACTTAGCATACAGTACTTCACAAGCTCACTGATCCTGCTGAGGTACAGTATGTTAGTTTCAGTTCTTTGTAACAATAGATCAGTTACCATTTTTTTCTATGATAGAAGAATATTTTCTATGGTAGAAAAGTACTTGCAGATCAGGGTTGAACTGTGAGGTCCTTGGTGCTGTCTAAGCTCGATTGTTTTCTTGCAGATGTTCCATTATCCAACCAGGTAACACCATAAGTTTTTTTCTCTATTTTCTTGAGAAGTGCTGCTGCATCCTCTCTGTCTTTCAAAGATCTATATGCTATCTTTTGTTCTACAGTGTCTTTTCTCTTGAAGGCTCAGACGTAGAATCTTCTCAGAAAGATCTATGTGAGCTCCAACAATACAGACTGTTCTCTGTCTTTCGTTCCTGATTCTCTCCTGCTTTTTTCACTGTCTTCTTTATAGACAGTTGCCTCCATTGTCAGCAGCTTTGGTAAGCCCTTCTTTCATTTAATCATAAATCCACTGAAGTACAACCAATTGTTGCTCCGATCATCTCACTTTTTAGCTGGATACCACTAACATTTGCATACTGCAAATATGGTGCCAGCTTGTTTCCAGGAAGAAACATAAAACATGGCACAAGCACTACAAGTGATGACTGCAAATGTTGGAAATCTTGTTTTAAGTTAACCATGTTGCCATCATTCAAGCACTTTGTAGCAATTTGAACCTGTATGCTAACTGATTGTTTGGCTTGCTTTAATGACAAGAAGAGTTTCAATAATACATTATTTCTGTATAATGTATTATATTGTTTAATATAAGTCATTTTTTCTTAGAGGAAATATTGTAGCTTGCAGTACTTTGAATAAGTTCTAGTCTCAGAAGAGAAAACAAAACCTTACAAATGCCCTATTTATTATTTTGCATTTTTATCACAGAATGCCTTAAGAATTTAGGTCTTGTAGTAAGTACAACAAATATGCATGGTTCACTTTAAAAAAAAAGGAAGTCATGATATCGTCTCCTTGATTTCTTATCTTAATGTAGTACTGTATGCATATTCACTTCAAGATGAAAACAATGGATTGTTTTTTGGAACAAATCACAAGTTGATTTGATAACTAGTTGATATACAGACTCTGGCTTACTATTTTTGAAAATAAAATCATACCTCCTTCCTGATTTAGTCTTTCTTGGTTTTGTACTTCATCCACAATGGCAAAAAAAAAAAAAAAAGTTAAAGAGGACTCAAAATTGAACAAAAAAGCTGTGACTATTTTGCAAGCTATTTTTAAAAAGTAACATTTGCCATCAATTTTTTTCTGTTGTTTTATTGTGATTTTCATTTTAAGATGGTGCAATTGATTTAGAAATCTACAAGACTTAGCACATTTTAAATATCAATATGTATTTAAATGTATGTATTGAACCTGTATGTTAATTGGTTGTTTGGTTTGCTTTAATGACAAAAAGAACTTCAATAATAATTATTATTCAATAATAATGTTTGGTGGACAAAGTATTTGAGCTTCAGCTTGAGTATCTGTACTTCCAAAGAACAGTCAGGGTTGTTTTTCTTAACAAATGCATTAAATTAGGACAAATATTCAATCCCAATACTAACCAAATTTACCTTTAGCTTGAGTCACTCTTTGGAAAAAGCATGGATGAATTGTTAACTAAATGACCAAAATTGAATGCAAAAGGTTAAGCATCATCACCAAAATTAAGAAGACATTTTATGAAGCTCAAGGCAAACTTGACTATGTTATTTCATAATTTATTGTCATATGTATTCACCTACATAAGATTTGTATCTTTGCCTGAGATAGATAGTTAACTTCTTTCTTTCCCTGTACACATGATATTTATCTACACAAAAAAAATATTTAATTACAGTTAGTCTTTATGGTTAATTTGAACTGTATAATATCTTTTATCTACATGAATAAAAATATATAAAACCAAATGCAGTGCAAACATTGGCAATTGTTTATATTTCCATTTGGTTACCTAACAGATGGTAACCAGAGACTCCCAATGTGACTTTTCTTTTCCTTTCCTACAAACTGTTCACACTTTTTTCTTTTCCAGTTGTGAAGAACTGCTGCCCTTTTGAATTTTTTTACTCTTCTCTAGTGGACAACTCCCCATACTGTTCAGAGCCCACTTTTGAGCAGAATAAATGTCTGCTGAAAGATCTGAAAGTGGAGTAGAGAAACAGGAATAACTAGCATCTGGGCTGAAAATATAGAGAAGGAGAATTTTTAATGATGATAGGAAAGTATCTGTATCTTTTTTCCTAGGTGCTTCTTACTGTGCATATGATCTGACAGGAAAATAAACTGAGGCTGATAGACAGTTACTAGTCTGAGGCTATTTAGTGAGTCTGAGTTGAATAACAATCCATATTTCTAAGGCTAATTTGTCACTTGTGGTTTATTTTGGCACAAGAATATCCTGGCAAGCCACTTTTTTCTTCCTTGGTCAAATGATGCTGGCTTTATCTTGTCCCTAGTCCAGGATTTCAACAAATACATGCTGATCCTTCAAGGCTCTAAAAATTATCCATTTTCTGTGTTAAATGTGTCACCTAACCAAAGCCTGCAAATTTATTCTGGTTTTTCTTTCTCACTTTCTCTGTTGGATATGGCCAACACAACTTTTATCACTCACTGGAGAAATTCCACAGAGAGGCCTGTTTTAAAGGGGAGGGTGTTTTTATGAATGGATTGTTTATAGTTATCAGGAATCCTGCAACTTACTAGGGTTCTTACATACATTCTTATTTTCTTGTCATATCGGTAACTGCAAATAGTCAAATAAACAATCCCAAGTGTGCTCTACTGAATCATATAAGAAGCATGTGCTTTCTGGAATCGACTATAATAGAAAAAATATAGTTACTTCTAGCTGCTTAGTTTTTCAATTAATGTATGAATAATGTGTTTAGACTTAGCCCAAGACACTGTATTATTATATCAGTAATTTCATATTTTATTGTCATGTTTCTTAGTGTTAATATTGGGGAGCGGTGCTATTTTTAAGCACTTATCTTTAAAAAAAATAATGATTTTTAATGACTGTTGAATGGCTAATATTGACGGATGTTACTAATTTCCTTATAATATGTTCTTTTATAGCCTTAAGAAACTGGAAATATTTGGTTGTCAAGCCATTACTGACAAATGCTTGAAATCAATTACTACTAAATGTCCAGGTCTAGAGGTTTTGAATATTGGCAGACTTCATAGAATCTCTCAGTACTGTTTAGTGAAAATGGTAAATTCATTGCAAAAACTTACTAGCCTCAATGTCACAGGCCTTGAAATGGTAAGAGCTGTTTATTTATTTCACCCATTTTCCTCTGTTAATTATTTCTTTTTGCTTGTGTTCAGTTTATCATATTATGTATGTCAAAGGTTGATAACTTAAAAGTTAAATCATTGAAGGTTTTCTAGGCTTCTCATTATAGAAAAATACTGAGATTTTATCTTGCTTTTTAAAAAAAATAAATCAGTCTTCTAGATATAAGTTTGGAAACTGAACGCTAAAGTGAATATTCATAATATTCACAAAATATTATGAAAATAGGTGCAAATTGTATATAAACATTCAGTCACTGAAATTAAAAAGTCATTGCTGGGCCCCATAGTCCTAGGTAATTATTTTCCACTTTCAACCTTCCTTCTTTAAGGGAAGCTTCAGTAATTCCTAGAAAAAACAATTCTTTTATACTTAATAAGCTTATTGACTAAATTATACTAATGCAAGATTTTTTTAAAGTTCTAAATTAGTTTTCTCTCAGCTGGTATCCCCTATTCTGATGCTAAGACACAGACTCGATCCAGAGGATGCCCACCTGCCACTATATTTATTCATTTGTTAAATTTATATGCTGCCCGTCCTACCGTCAAGTGACTCTGGAGGACTTATAACAACATAAAAGCAAAATACAAAATATTAAAACATTAAATGTTAAAATTAACAGAAATTTCTTGAGTTAGAAACCGGAATGCAATGGGGTAGAGGTGGGATCTTCTGCGTAGTTCACTAATGAGTTCCAATGTGGAATGCTCTCATCAGGAGCCCAGGTCAATCGGCAGAGCCAGTTTGAGGCTCTTGCAAAAGGAAAAGAGGGTGGGAGCAGTTCTCACTTTGACGAGCGTGATGTTCTAGAGCAGTGGTTCTCAACCTTTTTAATGCCGCGACCCCCAACCGGTCGTAAGTTGAGGACTAAACCAGTCGTAAGTCGAGGACTAAACCGGTCGTAAGTCGAGGACTAAACCGGTCGTAAGTCGAGGACTACCCAACCGGTCGTAAGTCGAGGACTTTCCCTGCCCGGGAGCGCCGCGCATGCGTGGTTCCGCCCCCTACGGCTGAGGCGTAGCTGGCAAGCGGCAGAGACGGAGCAGGCCGACCACCAGCTGGCCCAGCTCAAGGGAGGTAAGGCATCCGCCGGAAAAGGGGAAAAAAATGGCGGACAGCCTTGCTTGGCGACCCCCGTGAAATGGTCGATCGACCCCAAATGGGGTCGCGACCCATAGGTGGAGAACCGCTGTTCTAGAGGATGGGAGCTACAGCAGAAAAGTCCTTATCCTGGATCCTGCCAGCCAGAATTCCTTAACAAAAGGGTTCACAGCATGCCTCTTCTGTTGGAACGAATAGGATGGGTCAGTCTCACTGGGTGAGACGATTCCTCAGGTAACCCGGACCCATGTCATAAAGAGGTTTAAAGATGATAACCAACACCTTGAATTGGACTTGGAAGCAAACCAGCAACCAGTGCAGTTTGTGCAACAGCAGTGTTAAATGGGCCACTCTAGGGGCTCCTAGAACTATCTGCAGGGCTGCTTTCTATGTCAGCTGTAGCTTCCGAATACTCTTCCAGGATGGTCGTCCCATGCAGAGTGCACTGCAGTAATCCAAGATGTGGGTAACTGAGCAGCAACTTTGGAGCAAGGTGCTCTTTTAGATATCCAGAACCTAAGGCTTTATACGTGATTATATGTGGATTTGCAGCTGAAAGCCAGTGCAACAGGTGTTACATAGGTGAACTGCAGAATGTTTATATGGATTTATGTTATCTATGCAAAGGCCTTTCTTGGCAAGGCTGTCACTTTCACTTCAAGCAAGAGCCAAGAGTCAGGAGAACCCTCAGGTTACGCATAAATTGTGTCTGAGATAGTGCAACCCTATCCAGAACAACGCTGACCAATATTACTGGTAATGGGACTTCTTGTATTACTAGGCACTGAGAACTGAGTCGTGATAGGGTTAGGTTGAGCCTTTTCCTCCCTATATGAACACTAATAGAATCCAGTCTCTAGAACAGGGCCCCAACCACATCACCAGTTCAATCTAGAGTTGAGATATACAGCTGTTTGTCATCCATATATTGATAGGGATAATCTTGCCCAGATGTTAAATAGAAGTGGGGATACAATTAAGCCCAAAGGAATCTTACAAAGCAAGGATTTCAGGCTTGTTCTCTTCTGCCTACTTATTCTGAATGAAACTGACTCCAAGAAAAGAAGAAAATCAATGTAATCTCTGCTTCCTACTCTTAACTCTTGAATCAGTTACTTCTTCGATGTTCTTATTCCCTCTGATTTCCTAAAAGGATCTGGATTAGAACAGTAGAACCATGGATTTATATAGAAACCTATCAAAAGAGTTATGGGAAAAATGTATGCCAATATACATTGAACATTAATATTTAAATAATATATCAGAGCTAGTTTCCTTATTGTACTGGGAATAAGGAACTTGACTGGCAGTGAACAGCTCTGCTCTGTTATTGAAAGACAATCCTCCACATTGGCTTATTTCCTGCTTTTGTCTTGTCTTGGGCTGCAGATGAGGGATTCTCTAGTACATTGTATTTTGAAGAAGTGTCCTAAACTGGATTGTTTGGTTCTTAACTCGTGTGCTCACATAACCGACATCAGTCTACTTGAAATTAGCTCTTATCTGCCAGGTATCAGGTAAGGTAATATGTTGGAAATGCACTTGTCATTGAATTTATATATTTTGGCATTATTTAAATAATTTTCAATGATGTTACCTCCTTAGTTATGTTGACATTTTGTTTTGCCTTTTTGCTATTTGTGGCATATACAAGATAGGTGGCCTCAAGTGCATTAAACAAGAAGTCATCGAAGCTGTACTGGATAGTGCTATTTCTATGGCAACTACTTAACATTTTGTTGCACTATCAAATGTGTATGGTTTTAAAAAGTAAAATTTAAAAGTGTATTAGGTTCTTAACATTGTGATATTTTAATAATAAATTTAAAATAAAGAACTGGAAACTAATTATAATTGAAGCTGGAAGTCAAAGAGTTGTGGTTACTATTGATCACAGATTAAACTCAGAAAGGGAACCAAGAAACATATATACAACAAATGAAACAAATGGTTTAGCAGGATAACGTCTTTTGAAACTCATTTCTAAACTATTTAATCAAAAAAGATAAGAAATATTATAGTTGCACATCTCTGTGATTGTTATCTCCCCCTTAATGAAATGGTTATGTTACTTTGCTTTGGATAAAAAACTTGTTGTTTTTCTTTATTTTGCTAAAATTATGGACAGTCTCTTGATGGTTCTTTTGCTATCACTGCAACTCATGCCTATTTCCTTCTGCGTTTACTCCCAAAATGACACACTTTGACTTTTTAAAATGTTGCCTTACTCATGGTTTGCAATCACAAGGCTAGGAAGGGGAAATTGTTCATGAGAGACAGAGTACATAGACAAAGTGACAAAATTAGCAGACCAGTGAAATGCTGTGGACATAGTATATTTGGATGCCAGTAAGGTATTTGATATAACAGACCATAACTTATTTCCTGATAAGATAGAAAAATATGGGATAGACAGTATTACCACCAGATGGATTCGTAACTGGATGACAAAGTGCCTTCAACATATAGTCCTCAATGGAACTACACCTAAATGGAGGGAAGTATGCCGTAGGGTGCCACATGATTCTATCTTAGGCCCAGTACTCTTCAACATCTTCATAAACAATTTAGATGAAGGAAGAGAAGGGGATGCTGCAACCAATCCTTGCCAACTGCCCAGATTTTCATCATGTGACTGTGGGGGATGCTACAATGTTTGTTAAGTGCTGTCACTTTTTTCAGTGCTGTTGTAACTTTGAACGGTCACTAAACAAATGGTTTTAAGTTGATTAATACATTATGGCATCTTAGGTTGCTGTGAAGAGGTCAATGCATATGAAGGTCAATACCAGCTAAAGAATTGTGGCAATTGCGACTTCACATTGTTGTGTATGTAACAATAATAATAAAAAATGTCAACGGAAACATCCTCAGTCTTCTGTACAAAAACTGCACGTGAAACTAGGCTTCTATATTTTCTTTTCAATTTAAATGTCATGCAAACTAATCAGAAGTGCAAATGAATACAATAGCACTAAAGAATCAAAATAATTATAAAATTGATAATCAAGGAGAGAAAAAAATGAAAAAAGGGTTGGAGATTATGAGCAGAACAATCCTGAAAACTTTACCTATGTTGTTCAAAAATCTCCTCTGCCACTTTGTTGAAAAAACAGTAGTTCAAATGCTGACAAGCAATACTTACCAACAGTTTATCTTCTAAATCAGACATGTCAAACTTGCGACGTCACGTGACATCGCGCAATGTATTGGGATGGTTTTGCCATTGCCGGCAATGGAGTGGGCGTGGCTTCCAGATGATGTGTCCAGCCCGTGGGCCGGCAGTTTGACACTCTTATTCTAAATAGTCAATTAGTTAACTGATATACCATGTAGGATGTAGCAGTACAATACCATATCTCTTTCAAATCTTTTTCCCCAATGTACACGGTGAGCCAGTATCTGTGTCAGGTTACTGCTTTTTGCATCCTTTCAGGTACCTTGATGTTAATGGATGTAAAGACGTGAGTGATATTGGAGTTCAAGCTTTGGCAAGGAATTGCCATAAACTTTCTTATCTTGATTTGAGTTCCACAGCAACAAGCAAAAGAGGGTAAGATATTTGGTAAAAAATTTGAACATTTTGTAAAAGAAAATAGGTGACAAACATTAACACTGATTTTAAGGATCTATTTAATATTAACCATATTGTCAGTGCAAGCAGTGACACAATACTACCATTGGTTAAAAATTGCTTTAAGTCACCTCAAGTGGTTATATAAGCAGGAAGGTGAGGGTATAAATGAATGAATGAAGTCTTTAAACAGGACTGCTTCTGGTTAGTGAACAGAGGAATATTTACAAATTACTTAATTTTCCTAGCAGTACAGTACAAGTAGTCTTCAACTTACGACCACAACTAACCCAAAATTTCTGTTGCTAAGCAAGACAGTTGTTGAGTTTTGCCCCATTTTATGATCTTCCTTGCCACAGTTGTTAAGTGAATCATGGCAGCTGTTAACTTAATACACAGTTGTTAAATGAATCAGGCTTCCCCGATTGACTTTGCTTGTCAGAAGGTCGCCAAAGGTAATCACATGATCCTGGGATATTGCAACTATCATAAATACATGCCAGTTATCAAGTGTCCAAATTTTGATCACATGACATGGGGATGCTGCAGCAGTCGTGTGAAAAATGGTCATAAGTCACTTTTTTCAGTGCTGTTGTAACTTCAAACAGTCACTAAATGAATGGATGTAAGTTGAGGACTAGCTGTATACAGTTGTATGATCTAAATGCATCTTGCTATAAATATGCAAAATAGAGGGCTAAGTTGTGAACTTCCATATAACAGATGAAAAGAGCACGAGCATCTACCAATTGTTGTCATCAAAACTTAAATATGTCTTGGAGTTGTTTTAGTGGCAAAATGAGCTTCTAGTAACTTTCTTCTGAAATAATAAGCTTTAGCTCTCTGAAGGAAGAACTATAGGGTAAATGTAGCTGTAGCAACTCCTAAATGCATCATAATAAGGAGCAGGTTCACAATGTAGTCCTCTGGCCAATAGTCTTGCTGAGCACCTTTGTTCAGCCCTCTTCTCTTCCTGGTGGTAGTGGGGGAAGTGTTAGATCCACCTCTTGGTCTTCTGAGGCCAGAAGTGATAGGTGCCCCTCTTGATTGCTAGGCAATTCTGTTTTTTTTGTACTTGCAACTCTATCAGCTGAATCCTCTCAGGTTGATGATCCTCTTCCAAGTCTGAGCTGGCCATGACAATTAGATTTTAATGCCATCCTTACAGTCAACTCAAGGTAGTGAACATACTCAGCACTCCTGCCTGTGAGTTGGGTGTTGGATTGGACTGAGAGACAGTGACTGGCTACACCAACCCTAGGATGAGTAGTACAAGCTGGTAGAAAACTTAATTTGAGTTATGTAGACTTGAATTGATCTGTAGTGCCAGTTAATCTACAAAAATGTGCTGTTACTAAATTAATTCAAGTAAACATTGTTTTTTAAAAGGCTTGTGAGTAGGTATTTACCCCCATACTGTGGTTGGACAGTGGTCATTAGTAGCTATAACACTCTAGTTTGCCCATAAATATAATGAATTTCAACATCTGTGGAGGTCTGAAGATCTATTAATTAAGATACAGAGTGGAGAGTAGACCAAAGAACTTTTTCCAGTACATTTTCAATTTCCCTGAATTGTAAAACATTAAGCTGTGTATTCTAGGACTAGGTAGCTATGGTAACATTGCAATTATTGTGATTCCCAGCTTGCTTAAATACATTCCTGTATTGCTAAACTGAGTTTTATCTGATTGATTTGACTTATCTTTTGTTCAGTCCTAGTTCAAGTTTTTTCTTTTATGAGCATTTTTCCTATGAACTATTTAAATGCCACTGCAGTAGGAGAAGTCCTTATTGCAATGATATAGATTGTAGTACAACATTGTACACATTACTAGGGTACACATTACCCTAGGCTTCTGCTGGCTTTCAATGGAACACAGTTTGAAAAGTTTTCAGAACTTACTCTCATATACATTCCTTATTTGCTGTTATGAAGCTTATATGTAAGTTATTCTCTGATCATTTCGACTCCTGAGAACTTCAAATTAGCTTTGCTCACTTTCTCATTTTATCTGTAACCAGTTTTGACTGGTATCACTCTGTGAATTTAGTAAAAGGTCTTCAAGAAAATGCATACACAACATGTATACTTCTGATATGGACATTTTTGTATCCATGTAAAGCATTTTTCTATGCTTAATTTTTTTGTAAAACTTTTCATCTAATATATAGATTTTTTTTCTTAAAATACAAAGAGTGCCAAAACCGGTTGACGTACAGATTTGGGAGATACAGATTTTAAATTTATATAACATTATGATGAATTATCTTTTAACTATTTTTACTGCTAAGAATACCATATCAGTCAGTGGGGAAGTATCACTCATTGTTACTATTGCATGACGGAGCTTGGGCCTTATCCGGAGGATCTGGTCCACGACTCGGCGGAAAATCAGGCGGCGGCTTGGGAGACAACTGCCGCCGCTGCATTGGACCGAGTCGTGCCTTTGCGGCCTCTGACCCGGCGTAGATCTCGACTGGCTCCCTGGTTTACCGGGGAGCTGAGAGAGATGAAACGCCGGAAAAGACGCCTAGAGAG